TCTTATAGGAGAGGTAGTTTTTGGTGGAGCAGGGTGCAGGTCTTCACCCAACCCTATATTGAGCTCAATTAAATTCACAGGTGAGTTTTAATTCAGAAGTCATCCAAAGCTCCCAAGTTCTGCTTTTGGCACACCTGGATAATGTAGAGCATCCCTCAGCAGTGAGAGCAGGACAGCACAGAGGATCCCTTGAACTGCACTCACCTCAAGGACTGGGGCCGCTGGTGGTACCACAGGCTCCAGCCTGGGCTCTTCTGTTCTATAAATTAATATGTCAATCCCCTGTTTTTCAAGGATTACCCCATTCCTCCAGAGCACAGCCAAGGGAGATACCTTTTCATACATCAACCTAAACATCAGAGACCTCCTGNATGCCTCTGTTTTTCTCCTACTCTCCCACCTTAGCTATTTTTATGTATTTTAAAAGTACTGTTTTTCTTTAGAAAGCACGTAAGTCACACACTTGCTCTCCTGAAGTCTGCACAAGGTTTACTGTTGACTACAGTGAGGTGAAGGCTTGACTTACACAGCCCCAGCAAAACTCTTGTCAAGTAATTTTGTGCCACAATGGAAAGCAATTCATTACGAAAGGGGCTAAAGCAAAAATCTAGCCAGGCAAATAAACATACCACTGTCAGTAGAATTTATTGAGACATTTTTGAGGCTCTCAAAGGGATTTTATTTTGAGACAATTTTCTATTGAAATTGTAATCACAGGGCTTGGTGTGGAGTAACTTCTTATTTGGCAACTCAGCCCTGGTGAGAGGGAGGGCAAGTGTGTTACAATCACAAGCCATAAGGGAACAAAGGGGCTCAGGCCAGCCCTGCCGAGATGCCCCCCCGAGCTGTGAAATACAAATCACTATAAGGCAGTAAAAGCCGCCCAGAATGTGCCTGCTTCCACTTCAAACTGATTTTTAAAATTTCCTTCAAGTCAGTTATGTGCTAAGGAGAAGGGAGAGGATATGAAGAAGCTATTGAGAAGGGACAGGATATGAAGAAGCTATTGAGAAACCTTGTGTATCTTCTCTTGCTGGTTAAGTTTAATTTCTTGAGTTTAATTGAACTGGAGTGATGAAACCAAACAAGGTCACCCTCCCACATCTCATTGTCTTGGGAAGTGCCAGTGGTTTTCATGCATCAAACTCTTGTCTGGGCTGCCTAATTTTGGGAGTTTAACTTCAGAGATGTCCCTCCCTGCAACTCCCTACAGGAGTCTCAAGCAAGTCTGCAAGTTTCATGGTGAAAGGTGCAAGATTTCCTGCTCTTCAGGAGGAACATATGCCCACACACCCCCCTGGTTATGCTTAATTAAGCAAATATACCTGCTGGAAGATGCAAAAACCTGATCTGAAGGCAGCTGAACCTACCATTGAAACTGGTGACAGCAAGAGGGAAGGTCCTTACAGCACTTGAAGAAAATTGCTTGTTCCTCCTTACAAAACTGAAAGCAAAATCAAGATTAAAAAGAAAAACAAAACAAAAAGATTGCAAAACAACAGCTTATTTTGGTCTTAGAGAAGATCAATATTGAGCGGTTGAATAAATCATCATCCAGTTTGGCTGCTGAGCCTGGCTGAAGTCAAAGGGGAAGATACAATATTCCTGGGATTTGCCATGAGGAGGTTTGTCACATCTTCCAAAGGCATGCATGAGGGGGAATGAGACAGGGCCAAGTGCTGGGCAGAAATTATTTCACCTCCTCCACATCTTTGCAGCATAAAACATCCCTCATCATAAATCAGCTCTGATTAATGTATTATGGATGTTTATGTTAAATGTCTCAATTGCTCTTTCATTCTTGGGAATACACTCTTATTTTCATAGATATTTATCAGTGCAACTTCTCTAGGTGGCAGATTTCACTTCCCATCTCTTCTGGTTTTGGCTCTGTGGAGAGAAGAATGGAGTCATAAAACTAAAACACACACAGACACAGGGAGCAGGACACTGGCCCTTCCCTCCATCAATTGCAGAGAGACAATTTCAGGAGAAGTATAGCTGTGGAAGACATTACTTCCTTCAGTTCTGAACCTTGGTTATTCAATATCAGGGTTCTACTGCCCTTGTGAGGGCATGGAAATGCTACCAGAGAGCATTGCTGATAATTGCTTTCCTAATACAGCAAGAAGTCAAAAGCTTGGGCACAGTATTTCACATTTGATACATTTTGAATGACTATTTAATATAAGTATTTATTTACTTCTCTGGGTCCTCATTTCTTTCTGACATAAAAGCTCTCCCAAGTGTCTTTGTAAATTTGAGGTGAACTACTTCACTGCTCTCGAGGGTACAGAAGTCCTGTAAATGTATTTTACTACCTTTTCATATTTTATATGCAGTTGAGTCTGGAGGACAGACCGATCTCCAGCCTTTTCTGTTCAGAACTCTGGCTTTTGGTTAAAATCAAAATCAATTTTTAAAAATCATCCTTCAACCACCTTGAAAGCCAAAGAGCATCTCGTAACATCTCAGAAAAAAAAGCAGAAGCTACATGAGAAAATTGTGGTAGGTGATTAAACTGATTAAATCCCGGGCTTAACTCTGGTCTCTCAGTCAATGAGAATCAGAACGATGCACTAGAAATGAGATGCACACATTCCAAATGATAATTAATTAAGCAGGAAAAGAAGGACAATATGACGTTATATATTTACTCAGAGCAACATAGGTACTAAATGCTGTATTGATGACTATTACCTACAAGAACAGTAGTTGCATAAAGCCAGATAATTAAATACCTACCTTCATGCCCCTTCAGAAAGTACTGGAGTGGATGTCTATGTCTGGACATAAATTTTCCCATCAAATATTCCTCTGAGACTGCCTAAAATAAACAACAGCTCTGTGTGGGGGAAGAAGATAATAAGGAAAGCTTAAATATTAAAATGGGTTAATCTGTTTGTTTCCTAAGTAGGAAGACTGTTCTAGGAGGACTCATTGGTTTAAATCTCAGGAGAGGCAAAAAGCTAAAAGACCATTTTTCAGTAATGTTGGTTTTAAAAATTCAGAGCGTTTCATTTTCCTAGCACTAGCAGATTAGTACTGATGAATCTTATGAATGAAATCGATTTTGGACTGTAATTATAATAGCAGGGAAATCATTTAATGGTCAGAGAAGGATGAAAATTCAGGTGTTGACCAACATTATACTGCAGATAAAAAAATTATACAGAGGATGACAGATCACCAAAAGGAAATTATTAGGAAAAAGATTTAATGAGAGCAGAAAAATATTTGGAAGAAAAGTGATGAGAAGACTGATGGTTGATGAAAACCCTCTCCCAGCTGCTTCTCTTCCAGCAGAATAACCAGCTCCTGGACATTTTTCTCTACTAGAACTGCTCAGAAGATGTTCAAATATATCATCTTCAGCCTATAAGCAGCCTGGACATGTTTTTATTACCTTGTTTTCCTTCCTTTCCTTACTTCACAATTCCCACATTTTATTTTACCCACAAAACGGGAAGTAAAGAAGTTTTGCCTTAAACATATAGCAGCATGTGAATTCCCATGTGTGAAGGCTTTTTCTACCCTCAAGGACCTCCAGGCTTCTAAATCAAAGTGCAGAAGCTGTCAAAGCCAGCTAGACTATACTAAATATTTCCAGAAAAAGACATTTATACACACAATAACAATATGTTACAGGTACAAAGTGAGGAAGAACAATATATCCAATACACACATAGACAGGAGTGTTTGCTTTTGGGAATAATAGTGAGAAGGTAGTTAAAATAGTGATATAGATTGTCAAAACATGATCTCAAAATCAAAATAATACTATCATCCCAAAGGCAACACTTTATACAGCATTTCCTTAAGAAAAGAGGGAGGTTTTTTGGTTCAGAACCTTCTTTTTGCTGTCTTGAAAATAAATATTTTTGAGCTTTGCTTTTCAAGATTCGTTGGATAAACCCAGACTTCTAATGACAAATTAGAATGTACATTATGTCTAAGAAGTTACATTAAGGTATAAAAATCTGGATGAGTCCAAACCTTTATTGAAAGATATGTTTTTCTTCCTGTAAAACAACTACATGTTTCATCTTCCCCAGAAGTACAGTTTAAAGTGATGAAAAAAAAAATTACCTGGGAAATCATTTGCAGAGTAATATCAAAGAGAAGTATTAAGAAAGGATCTCTGAAATTTGATCTGTGTTTCCTAACTTTGGTTAATTTCCTGCCTTCAAAAACCCATTTGTGGGCATGTTTCTCTATTTTATCTTTTGTCATCACTGAAATATTTTGAGTGGGGGAGAAGCAACTGAGTTCCCTTCCCAGACATCACAGGTTAGTTTGAAATGGATTTTACCTGGCTTGGTCAATGGGACCACTGGGTCTATTTCCATGCACTGGGATGAATGTGGTTGAGGATAAAGGAGACAAATGCACATCATGACGAATTTTCACTGATTTTCTGCAGCTTTGGCAACATTGCTCTCACATGATAAAAGACGTACACAGAGTCTAAACTGGTTTTAAGACTGGTGGGTCATTCTTTTTCAAAGCCAATTGGAAAATGGAAACTTTATCTTCAGAAAACCAACAGCTTCTCACATAAATCTTCAGAAGGGAGGACTTCACTGACACTTCCCATAAGGCTGTGGACACTGTGTGCTGGTTTAAAGGTAAACCGGCAGGGGAAATGAACCCAACTCAAAAGAGAGATTATAAATCAGAATAACAATTTAATAAAATAATACAGTAAGTACAATTATGCAGACAAACAATTGCTTTTAACCCACAAAACCCAAATGTATAACCCAGCACCCTGGGGCATGAACAGAGTGGTGTTCTTTGGGCCCCCTGAGTCCAAAGGAAAAGGAGAGGGGAAAACCTGTTGGTGAGAGTGCTGTTGCAGTCTGGTCAAGAGTGGTGATTGCAGTCCAGTCGAGAGTGGTGGTCCGCAGTCTGGTTGAGAGTGGTGGTCTGCAGTATTCCTCTGGATCCCATGAGTGGTTAAAAAAAGTTCCAAGACTTCAAGATTATATATTCTCCAGTTCAGGCAGGAATGCCCAGTACCTCCCTCAGGGCGGGGAGTTCCACAATGGGTGTGAGGACAGGAGCACCCTCCTGTCTTGAAGACCTCTTAACACTTGCTTTATAGCCTGAGAAGTCAGGCTGCTCTGGAAAGAGGGTGTAAATAGTCTATTGATAACAGTTTCTGGGAAATGGCATGGAAGGCTATAGAATACACAGTTTTGGGTTACACCCAAACAGTGATGAACTGGTCCCAGCTGTTCTAACTAGGACACATTGACATATTGTGTGTAGATTTCCAGGGGAGGGAAGGTGAATAAAACCAGTCTCAGCCGATTGGAAACTGGCTCTGTACCACGACTGCCCTCACCAGACAACACACCTGTGCTCACACAGCCCAAGATGTGTAACACCCACCACGTAATTTTCTGTTCAAATGACTCTATAAATCTCAAAAAGTAAGAAAAAAAAGAGAAAATAATAAACACTCTGACAGACTTTATTACATCTGCCCATGGCGTGTAACATTTCCTATTTGTACAACAACATTTTGCCACTAGAAAACTACAGCGTCCTGAAAGCAGAGTTTTGTCAGATGTTCAGCTTCATTTGCCTTCATTTTCTGCTGCAGGCACAATTAAACCAAGCTCTTCCACTTCGGGTTAAGTCATGGAACATATTCACTCCAAAACTGGAACCATACACGAGCTTTTGCTGAAAGCACTGTCAGATCAGCACTGGAAGATTTTGAATGGGTGTATGAATAGGGCTTTTGTGGCCTTGCCACTTCTCAGGCACAAAGCCTTTTTAGCAAGCAAAATATTTTAGCCATTCTTATTTTTACTGTGTGATTTATAACACTGTCCCAAAGCCCTTTGTGAATTTAAAATGCTGTGACCATTTTTCCAGGGAGGAATACTTAAATGTAATATTCCCAGACCCTTGTGTTCCTATAAGAGTCCATGATGCTGCAAATACTGAAATGGGTGCTCTTAATAAATTATAGGATGAAATTTTGGCAGAATCAGAGCCTAAATAAGTGGCTATTTCAGAAACACCAAGTAGGTGTTTTACCACAGACCTTTGCAAGCCACAGAGCACCGAAGACTTTAAAGACTGCCTTCATGCATTAACACATTTTGCTAACTCTGTCTTTACGCATAGTGTCTAAGCAAATAAGAACAAAATTGATGTCCTTTTAGAATGCATTTTATTTATTTCTTTTTTAGAAACCACCTTAAGGAAAATACTGAAGTATCAAAAATGACAATATTTTTAAATGCTATGGGTTTCTACGGAAGCTTAAAATAGAGTCAATATCTACTTTAGAAGCACTTTACTTCCAAGAGCAAGAAAACCTTATAAGGCATTAATGCTGCAGAGAACCTTTCAATAAAAAGGTATTTCTTTGGATGCTTTGAATTAGAAGAGACTATTCTAAACCTGCATCTCGAACAAAGCTGAAGATGATTTATCTGGATCATGTTTAGGCTGAGCTAAGAAAGGCATGGCATGTAAGGTTAAGTAGAGCAGTAGCTTAAAGTCGGACATTCTCTGGGGACATCTGGAAAACCTGAATACAGCCAGCAGCCATTGACTGTAAGGATGTAAAAAACACCTCAGTGGTGCTCTCGCTTCCCATATACATTTGATAAAAGGTCTACACAGGGGATAAACTCATTTTTAAGACCATCACAAATCAGGTCTATCAGGGTCTACAAACTCATAGGGGTGTGCCACCGGAAACCACCTCAGAGCACAGATCTTGGCTCTACTCTACAAAAAAAGCCTTTAGTTTTACAGTTTATCTCTGGTAGAAGCACCAGTCTCTGTCTCTCAGCCCACATGTGGCTACATGTCATCGAAGAGGTCCTCTGGCTCACAAGTGTTCTTCAGTGTTTCCAGGTTCCAATCCACAGAATGCTGGCCAGATGTCTTCTGTGAGGCCAGGTCAGGTCTGGAAATTTAAAGTAAAGGGATATGAAACAGATTTGGATAAAGATATAAATAATTCCAACATATACTTTGCCAAAGTAACCCTTCACAGTGAATTCCGAGGTTTTTGTTAAGTTTGCATTTAAGAGAAAAGTGGTTTTTGAAAGACCCAATCACTTGCAGAGACGGCAGTGGCAAAACAGATGAAATTCAGCTTACAAATGTCACAGCTTCAACTATTTCATCACAATTTTTTTTTAAGACCCTGAGAATTTCACCCTGAGTTTCCACAGAGAGAGCAAGGGAGGACAGGAAAGATGCTGAAAATATGCCAAGAGCCCATGTGCCCTATTTCTCCTGTCTCTCCAGGACACCATTCCAGTAAGGCTCTGCCCTTATGCCTGGGAAGGTGAGGTATCCTGTGTTTCCAAAAACAGTGGCATTTGTAACAGCTTCTGATCCCTGTATTATTTTTATTATATTAATCTTATATGTATAGGCTGAATACACAAAAAAATATGAATCCTGCACAGAAAACTTTACTTCTGTGATCTTAGAGAATTATGAATCACAGCTATGTGTGTTTTCAGTGACAAGACATTCTAGGTCAGCATCACTCCTTGCATTCAAAGTAAGACGTGATCTCCCAATCTTGCCTCAGTCCTTGGCTGCAGGGAATTGGGGTAGGAAGCAGGAATCAGACCTGACATGCTTGTACTGCAGGTTTTGGAGTATTGCTGGCTGGAGTTTCATAAGGGTCGATGGCTTCATGACCAGGAATATTCCACTGGTGCAATCCTGACAACAGGTGAAAAACTCATACATTCCCAAGGCCAACATGTCAGCCACCAGGATGGAAAGGATTGGACAGAGGTGGTGGAGAGTGTTGCTCTTACTCTCAAGTAAGGGCTTCCCTGTGAGGGCTCACAAATACAGTCTTAATCTTCAGACTGATTCAAGCATTTATTTTGCTTTCAACCACTCCACACTGCAGAGCCAACACAGCAAGTGAAATTCAGCAATTTTTTAAATTTGGTTTCAAACTGATTCAGAGCCAAATTTTCCAAACCTCATCCCTAGAAATCTCCAGGTAGCAGAAGTCTCTATGAAACACTGTGATTTCAAGATGCAGTGAGCTCCTTAAGTAACCGGGCACTGCCTCACATGACTCACAGCCTCTCATACTTCCAGTTCCTTGACCCCTTGGAGGGTCACAGCTCTCATTATGGACCTTCCTGCTGTGGATCTGGGGAATGAATTTCATTTTGTTCCCCTTGTGCTCCTGAGGAATCGGCAAAACCCCAGTAAATGCTGAGTCCTGGATGCTGTCACTTCCCAAGTGGTCTCGAGTATTCATAGGGGTTTCCTCATCACTCAATCCACCACCCCAGTTCTGCAAACTCCTCTAAATTCAATGTGTTGCTATATTCGGATTATGATAATTACTTTACCTGAGAGTCTAACTGGCTTTCTATCAGGACTCTTCCAAAATGTTCATCTTCAGGCCTGAGTAATTTGTGTCCAAGCATTGTTTATTCTCCTTTTGGTATGCAGTGAGATCTAGACAAATGTTTGTCTCACCAAAAGTCACTGGGATTAACTGTGAAACACACCTGCCAGAATTGGATCCTCAGAGCACTCCACACTGTTCTGATTGCCAGAAATCAACTTATTTCTGCCCTAATTTAAAAAAAAATATATAGGCAGCACACCCCAACAAAGAGTTACATTCGAGTTCACTCAATGGAGCATTGAAGGCATGTTGTTCTTTTACTTTTCTGGGTCTATCCAAAGCATCAAGTCTCCATTGAGAACAACATATGTAAATCACACAGTGTGGAGCCACACACTAATCATTTTAATTAATTCTGAAAGGTCTCATTAGCAAATAAATTAGGCTGTGAAGACCTCTGTACCACCAGGGGATATTTTAGGTATGGAATCTTTTTTTGGTTTTTGGAGCATATGCTCAAATATCGTTAAAGCATTTAGGAATAAAAGACTTCTGCGACCCCACATTTGTTGACTATGACATTACACCTATTCCAGTATTTTTAGATTTGGACAGGTAAACCTCATGGTGCTTATGCAATGTCAATGAGCATTTCATTCTCATTGGCTAAAATAACTGTTTTCAACACTATATTGGAGATCACACCCATAAGCAAAGTCATCGCTGAGTTTCAACATCACACAGTGAGAACTATTAAGCTTCTGTGTCCTTGTAACAACATGGTCCTCATTTAATCTCCAAAAGCTGTAACACCAGGCCTGTGAATAAACCCAACTGCACTACCAGAGTGGAAGCAATAGGCTCTTCACACAAAGATCACAAGAAAATTTTTGGTTTTAAGACTTGGTGATTCCTACTTGCTGGCAATTACTCACTGAGTGGCAACAGCTTGCTTTGTCCTGTGAAGTTATTTTGAATCTTAGATTCTCGGTGAGGCTGTGTTACCATACCCTGATGCATAACTGATTTAATTTCTTCAAACTGCAACGAGTTGTATAGCCCTCTCTTGCCAAAAAGGCTGTAAGTAAGCTATTCTTCTTGAATGTTTATTTTGCTGGATCTCTTTTTGAAGTCTTACCTTTTTGGTAAACTTAAAATCCATTAACACATCTGGAGAACTGCTGACTATAAGAGATCATTTCATATTTCCTGACATTTAGTTCATAAAATGAGACAGAGGACTAGATGCACAGCTGGTGTGAATCACTGGAGCACTAATAATGTCTGTGGAGCTCTGCTGACTTACACCAGATGAGATCCTGGCCCAAGAATTGGAAGAAAGTGGTTACATGACTTGATATTTCTTTCCACAGCTGAGTAAGAGCTGCAAGGAACAGAAGACATGAAACACAGCTGAGTAAGAGCTGCAAGGAACAGAAGACATGAAACACTTCGGTGCTTTACAACACAGGAACTCGAAGCCATGTAAGGTGGTGGCTTTGCAGAGGAGCTACACAAATAACCACTTTTTTTCTGGAAAGATGAAGGATTCCTGCACTTTTCTATTCTTATAGAGCCAGCTCTGCATGTTGTGTTTATGATTCTACTCGAATTTTTGTCCTTGAGCAACTCCCTTGGGATTTGGAAAGAGAAATACCCTTGTAAATTAACATAGACATAAAGACTTTCCAAGAAACTTGAGTAATCTAGGAGGCATCCCTGTGCCCTTCAACCATTGCATTATTTTCCTCATTTTTTTAATTAAGTAAAATAATCAGTTCCAACCATAAGCTGGCATTTTTCTAAGAGGGAAGATCTCAGTTGTCACCAGTGGTTTAGGAAAGGCTGAATTTCTCAGCACGTACATCTTTCCTTATCTTGGTTTAATGGTTCACTTTTGTCATTTTGACATTTATCTTAATGAAGGCTTTATAATAACAGAGGATATAATCTGATATAGTGTTATAAGAATAGGTGACAGCAGCAGCTTGTAGACAGAGAATTCATGGTCATTACAGCATTAACCTTAAGATTCTGAGGCATCTCAAACAGAAACCAAAGCTCATGGCCATAGGTAAAATCTTGGCCTTGAATAACCAGGATCCCGTGGTGTTCCCAGTGCTAGTGGGAGACATCCTGACTGGGCAAAAAGAGGAAAGTTAACCATAAAAAGAAAAAGAAATGGATAATGGAAGAGGGGAATAGCCTTTTAGATGCATTGAGAACACCATATGAATACAGAGCTCTTTAAAGTGGAATACTAAAAGTGTAAGTAGACTAAATGGAAGCTACATGTGATTAAAAATATGATGGTATACTCCTACACAAATAGGCTACAATGACTATAAGATAAATTATGGAGGTATTTTTCTTTTTAATTCAATTTAGAATGGAAAAAGAAAATGTGTTACTTTTTGGCAGTATTAAGAGTATTCCGCTTGCCAATGTAGTCTAGGCTGGCATTTATTCCTAGAAATGATATGAAAACAAGCCCACATACTTCTAAAGGATTCTGCAAAATGTAAACCCCAGCAAGTCTTGAAGAACTTACTGGATACAATCAGCTTCATGACCTGAAATTACAGCTGAGGGACTTTTGCCTCAGTTAGTAAAGAAACTGAACTTCTTTTCTGCCAATTTCAATTGTCTGAAGAGAATGGTGGTGTCAGAGATCATCGGAGCCCTACCTACACCTGGCCCCAAAACAAATTCACAGAAACTAGAGAAAAATACTCAAGAAATAGCTGAAGAGAATGATTCCTGAGGTGTCCACAAGTGGCATTTTCCTGTGCTCAGTGTACTGAGCAAACAGTCTAGTCTCAGTTAAGGGCACCAGACAGACAAAACCACCACCACCACCACTAATAATAATAATAACAATAATAACAACAATATCAATAATAATCTTGTTCAATTAGACAGTTAATGAAGAGTATTTTCAATGCAGAAACCACAAATTTAGTACTCAACCAGGGAATCAATGTTCCTTCATAAGATTCCTCATCTGGCTGGAGGCCAATCTGCAACTGCACCTGCATCCATCACCACTCCTGCACAGTAGGACAAGTCTGGAGTCCTCTCAATCAACACAAGTTAAGTAAAAACTCCAAAAACCAGGAACATTGCTAAACACTGTCTTCAGCTCCTGCAAGTGACACTCTTCATGTTCTAGAACCAGACACCATCAATTGGGGATGATTTTGTTTTATACTTGCACAAGTTGTCTTTTTCTTTATGTATCCTTGGAGACCTTCTGAGGAAGGAAAGTGGGCTTGGAGTCCCTCAAACATCACATAAATGGACACACTGATTGCAGCAAGAGCAAACTCACAAACAAACCTGCTACAATGAGAAGACTCTCATGTATCTCTAAATGATATATCTTTTAATATTTGATATAACTTCCAATAACCACTCTAGATCAGCTCACAACACTACTAGTCATTAACTCTATTTATTTAGTCCTACAAAACAGGAGCTTTTTTAGGGACTTGTATCCTTTCACTTGCAAATTCCCAATTAACTTCAGTTGGCATTAGTGCATGTCCTTATTTAAGAAGAACATTCTG